GCAGCTCCTGGGAGTGCAGCTTTTCAGGTTCTTTTCATGAGCAATAGGCCTAGATTTTACTACAAAAACTGCACTCCCATATGCATGATCATTTGGGTCACCTGAACCTGGTAGCAGACAAGGCAATATTTGCAGACTCTGGGAACGAGGGAGACCAAAAACCTTCAAAAAAAAACAAAGAAATCAAAAAAAGCAACCAAATAAAAACAATATTCCCAGCCAAGACTCTCTGAATATTGCTTGTTTTTGATTTTGTGTTTGTGTGTGTGTGTTTGGTGTTTTTGTTTTTTTGGTGTTTGTCCACAGGGTCCAAAATGTTCAACAGAGTGCTCTCCTGGTAGTGCAGCTTTCTTGACACATGTTAAGTTTCCTCGCAAATGTGTGTTCTTTTGAGTCAACATTTGTCAAGAAAACTGCACTGCCAGGAGGGCACCCTGTTAAGATTTGCCAAGACAGCTACACTGCGAGGAGGGCACTCTGTTAACCTTTGTTAAGAAAACTACATTGCCAGGAGTGCACTCTGCAGAAGACTCTGCACTTTGTGAGCACTTCTTGAAGAAGACACGCTAAACACACCAAAAAGACGTGTTTTCAGAAGTTTGTCCTCTGTGGGAGTGTTCAGTCAAGACTCTCATAAATATACATTTGTGTGTTTTCTCAAAGTTTTTTGGTTTTGTCCCATGGGGTTTGTATTTATGTGTTCCATGAAAGGGGTTGATTTTTCAAGTGGCAAAAAAATAAGTAACATATGTGTATATTTATTTTGCGTAAAAGTAAAGAAAACACACACCTCTAGAAAATCTACTTTCCCAGAGGTCCAGAGGAAAACTATAAAAATGAAAGTTTTCAAACAAAGCTTTTCAATATAGAAGTGATCAATCCCAGAGATCTGGAGGTAAGTTTGTGCAAAACACTTTTATTTTGTTTATGTTTATAGAAAGTTTTTGAAACATAGAACTATTTATTCACAGAGATCCTTTCTTGTGAAATACACAGTTTCTATATATAATCTTTAAACAACTCATCATGCCCAAAGATCTGGGGGACAGCTTTTGAAATGCACCCTTGGGTATTCGTCTTGAATATAGAAGTGATCAATCCCAGAAATCTAGGGAACAGCGTTTGGAAAAAAAACACTTACAATGTAGAAGGCAGCTTTAAATATAGAAATGATTATTTTCAGAAATGAAAAGGTAAGCTTTAAAGTATTTCCTTATATTATATACATGTTGTTTAAATGATTATTCTCAGCTGTTTAAAGGAACGCTTTTGAACAAAAAGGATTTCAAATATAGCTTTTTAATGTAAAAAATCCAGAAAATCCAGAGATGAAGAGGAACACTCTTGAACTAGCAGCTTTAAAAGATTTTGTTATAGAAGGGATCATTCCAGAGATCTAGAGGAAAACCTTTGCCATAGAAACTTTTATACAAAGCTTTCTTAGTATAGACATGAATGTTCCAGATATTACTTGAACAAGTCTATCTGTCTACCTCAAAGGCAATGTTTTGACCTAGTTCCCAGCACTCCCAGGGCAATAAAACACTGTAAAACATTTGATTTTATATCATTTTGTCTTAAACCCACACCCCCAGCAACACCTGCTCTCTGGAATTAGTTAGACCTGACCAAGAATCAATTTTTCACAATCAAAACAGTATAGATTATTTTCTCAGAAAAATGAGATTTGACCCTATAGTGGTTATGCCAAAGTTTTACTATGTTTTACTATACCTTAGTCTAAAGAAATTTTTATCTTTTGCAGTAAAGGTACCCTTCGTTGTGCCTATTGCATGTATTCCCCACGGTCCTGGAGACAGTCTATAGCTACTGCTCAAGCTACCAACAATGTGTCACCAAAGGTGGTTTTGGATGGCCATTTCCGTTTCCTTAAAAAGGTTTAGTTATTCTGGGGCTACGGTCACGCTCAGGAGTACGATTGCAGGACAAAATTTAAACTGCCGCTCAGGAAACACACACTGCGGTGCGGGGATACTACTCACCATCAACTGCGAATAATCCCAGAATATCTATTTAAGGGTGCGGTGTTCTGCAGATCTTCCACGCTTTCTCCCACATACAACCCTCACCCGCGCGACCTAAAACACGCACCGACTCACCTCCACCGGCCACCTCCGGCCATCCGGCCACATCCGGCCACGTCCGGCCACCGGACGGCCACACCCGGCCATCCGGCCACGTCCGGCCACATCCCACCGATGACTGGCCACCCGGCCATCCGGCCAAAGGCCAGGCCAGCCGGCCACCCACAAAAAAGTCTATCCCGCCAGGTCAACAAGCAAAGCCGATCTGCTTGCAACGTTTGTGGCGGAGCTCGTGATGGTGCGGATGCGCGGTGCGGAACTGATGAGCATGTACTGCAAGCCTGAAGCATGTTGCTATGTTGTTCACAGGTTCCCTATTCCATCGCATCCAATCGCAATCCAAGCATGGCAAGATTCCCCGATCGCGTGCTTGCCAGGAGTTTCCTCTGAATTTCCGAAGGGCATTTCTATACACCAGGTAATGCCAGGAAATAAGCCAGTGATTCCGACAAAAAGATGACTGATTCCGGGAAGAGCTTTTTACTGAAGCAGAAATCCAAAGAAGGTTGTTGAAAGAAACAGGTTGAGGAACATCAGCACAGGCTCAGGCGCTTGAACACCCAAACGCCCCAGAGTTTTTTTCTGTGTTTTCTTTCCGTAAGGATCCACGTTTACCCTTTAAGAATGCGATTGGAAACACTGTTATGAGACGGTGCCAGGAGGGTTTATTTGATGTTTTTTCAGTGGGAACAGTGTCCTGCCCACTCCTCTTTCAGCCTCGGCAGCTTTGGTGCCTGGCTCCAGTTCCAGTGTGGTGTCCCAGCCGGTTCCCGCAGCCGGGACGAAGGACGGGTCTTTCAGCGGGTCGGACTTCCGATCTGTCCCACCCAGGAAGTGTGTGGATGTTGACATGACAAGGACAGGGAGATCCCAGGGCGCCCGCCACGAACAGGTGGGAGGTGGGACTTGAACGTTCGTTCACCATTATGTATTTTCCACGAATGGTCCTGAGGGAGTCGGGGACTGATGTTGGTTTGTTTCTGCGAAACACGTGCTTGGATATTGAATGATATGTGACTGTGTTGTGTTGATCTAGAGATATTGGTGTCAGGGACGGTGGGAGGTGTCCGGTGTCAAGGCCTGAGTTTCGGCACTTGAAAGCAAAGAGATCCACCAAGGGGGGGCCAGAAACCTGGACGAGCATAGGTGACGTACCACCAAGGTCTTGATTTGTTTTGTTGTTCCAGACTATCTTAGCAGAACAAGATTTGGTGTCCAGGTGTTTTCTGGGTGTTGAACCTTGCACCCTCACCTGGAACCCCCTTCATATCCTCCAAACAGTGATTCAGTGACGTTTGCAGTACACGGAACCGGTACGCTCGCCAGAGCATCCAGCTTGCCGGAGGGAGCGTACCGGTACGCTCACACGATGAGCGTACACGGTGTAGACGGTTCCGGGTTTGAAGAGCGAAGATCCAACATGTTCCTATAGAGTAGATCAGGTGAACATCGATGATTCCTTCGGGAAAAAAACTATATAGTCCTACTAAGCCTATCAGGCTCATCAATCTATTAGGAGTTCTATTAGGCATCGGGAAGACTTGGTATACCGATCTGTATCCAGGCGCTGCCGGACACGACAGACGACCGTCGACCAGGCCACTACCGCGTACGACCGGAGTTCGTCATCTTACCCGCTGGCACGGAGGCGTTGGGAGTACCTGGTCGATGTGTTGGGAGGGAGAGACCGGGGTGGCCTTGATCGGTTGGTTGGTATGTTGGAAGCAGAACTGTTGGGAGTGTTTCTTGAGGTGAAAAAGGATGGACACATTTTCCTTTAGATGCTTTTGAGACATAGGTTGCCGCTAATTCCCCAGTCAAGTGGATAGGCCGATAGGCCAGTTTTATGAGTTCCTTCTTTGAGCTTGGAAGGAGCACCAAAGGAAGCCGTATAGTAATTGGGTCTGCCACTCAAACGGGATTTTCTTGTGTTTGTGTTTGTTGTTATGATGTGTGCACATACAGATGTACACATGTCCCACATACTCCATGAGTGAAATGTATATTGTACCTAGATTGACCCTTGCAATCACCCAATGTAGGTATAAATATGCCAGTCCCACGCAGTGTCTTAGAAATAATTTTGTTGGTCCAGTCCTAGAGTTTGAATAAATGTGTCCCACATTCGTCCCGTACGTGCGAAACGAGGCGCATGAGGCTGGTCCGTACATGAGGAACAAGCCAAAACAGCTTCATGTGGGAAAAAGGTTCACCCCTAAGGACCCTCAAAGGTGAAGGTTTTGAGGGTCCAACCCCCTGCGAAGTGGTCGGGTCAAAACCCTCCAGAAGTGGTCGGGGTCCAATAATGGTTTGGGACAGTTCCGCGTCACAGATGACACAGTTCATAAGTCTTACACCTTCGAACGCTGCAGACGAAGTTTGGTGAAGGACCGTTCTGACACACTGCAACTTGGGTCTTAATTACTTTCACGGCCACAGTTCATGAGTTTGTTTGCTTTGCCAAGACAAACGAAAGCCCAATGCAAAAAGATCTACTGTAGAACCTAAGGCGCCTGTAGGTCTGCACTGGCAGCCTACTTGTTGTTTTTGACCAGATCAGAGTAGATTCCGGTAGATGACAATTTGGGCCCATCTGAGTTCCCTCAGCACCTGATTGCATACTGGAGAGTCCAAGCACATGTTATTTGACCACAGCCTTCTAAGATATCTTTGGATTCTTTTGGTGGGGAAGTCAAGGCATCCTTTGTGAAAAGGCGGTGTTCAACAATGTGTTTTCATATGTGATCATTCCAACGGAATTTTTGGAATTGGACAGTCCGGTGAAGTTTTCAATCATTCTACATATTTATGTATATGATATATGGATTTTCCACAGGATGGTTGTATCACTGATTCACCGTTCCCAGCCTGCGGTCGGCATTGTGGGCCACTGCGAAGCCTTTTGGCTCATGGGGCTATCACCCTAGTGGAGAAAGGACAAGCTGGCTTTCAGCCTGAGCTGTTGTGCTCATGGCTTGCCTAAAGGCTCGGCTGTTTGTGTTTCTCGGGTCAGAGTTGCGTTGAACAGTTCGGTGGTGCATCAACAATCCAGAACATGTTTGCCATATTTGAGCATCATAGTTGATGGTGAGAATATGTGAGAATGTCTTTTCTCTAATAATTTGGACAGGGCGAGAATTGGAGATCCAGCAGCTCGCTCTCATAGGGCCGAGCAGCACACTGAACTCTGAGGCCTGTAGCAACTTAAGAGTAATGGCTTCAGGTGTAACTTGGACATTGTTCGGGGGGGTCGTTTGCTTCACTTAAGGCATCCTAACCGCAAGCAGGGATAGCAAATGCACGGTGCACGCGACCTCTTCCACCACGCTGCTTCCGCGACCTCGGCAAAAGGTGACTTTGAAGAAAGGTGGCACGTGGGACCTGACATTTGGGACAAGTCTGAAAAACGGATTCATATTATATTTTTCTACGGTCACTTGTGGCCATTCTTCGCCCTTCTACGGTCATTTGAGGGGTTCAACGTGTTGTTGTTGCTGTTGCTGTTGCTGTTGCTGTTGTTGTTGTTGTTGTTGTTGTTGTTGTTGTTGTTGTTGTTGTTGTTGTTGTTGTTGTTGTTGTTGTTGTTGT